TATTACCTCCACTTTCAATCCACAGTCACAGGGTATGTTTTCATCATCTATCCTTCCATATTTGTAAGTCTCCTACTCCATCTTGAGTGTATTTGCTTTTCCTTTTCTCTTTCTCACTCCTCTTTTCATTTCTTCTCTCCTCCTTTTCTCCCTTGTTTCCAAATGTATTTTATCTTTTAAAATATATTAGATATTGATACGGTTTGGATGTTTGTCCCCTCCAGATTTCATGCTGAAATTTGATCCCCAATGTTGGAAGTGAGGTCTGGTGGGAGGCATTTGGGTCATGGGGGTAGATCCCTCACCAATGGCTTGGAGCTCTCCTCATGGTAAAGAGTGAGCTCTTGCTCTATGAGTCCAAGTGACAGCTAATTATTTAAAAGAGTGTGGCGCCTCTCCTCTCTGTTTCTCCTCTTCTCTCACCATGTGACATTCTTTCTCCCCCTTTGCCTTCTGCCTTGATTGGAAACTCCCTGGACCCCTCACCAGAAGCAGATGCTGGTGTGATGTGCTTATTCAACCTGCAGAACCAAGAGTCAAATAAACATTTTCTTTATAAATCCCCCAGCCACAGGTATTCTTTTATAGCAGTACATAAAGGACTAAGTCAATTATAATATTAATACTTTTAAAGTTTCAAAATGTTAAATCAGTGTTAAGAATGACCAACACACTTGATGGTCTAAACACATGTTTTTCCACAAAATTGGTGACTCCAATTTTAAACATTACATTTTGCCTATACATATAAGTCTGCTTTAGCCATTGTATTGTAGATTTCTTTAAAATTTATACAAAGGGAAATTAATTTTTTTTGAAAATCAGGGTTATATAGAGGTAAATAAAAGAAAAAGAAAACATGTAAAGAAAACATGAAAGTTTGTTTCCCTTAAGTAGTGCCAAATATATTTTTCTGATTTTGTCAAAGTATGATAGGGAAGAAACTTCTTTCATTGAAATAATCAATGACTATTAAGTGAATGTCTATGGCACAAAAACATCATCACTGTATCTTCACATCCAAAAGAGATTGCTAGAATGACCAAGATTATTTTTCATGAGTGATACCCTTTTATTGACTTTTTGGGAAAATAGGCAAATAATATGGCCTCGGTGCCTATTCTCAAACCTCTTTTTGAAAGAGGTTTGTACTGAACATATAATGGACTATGAAAGCTTCAAAATATTTGAAAACGCCAAATAGAAAACATCTGTTGGTTAAAAAAATATATGGTAGGTATATTTTTCTACAGTTGGGAGAAGAAAACTGAGTCTGATAGGAGATGATGCAAGAAGTCACACAATAACCACTTAAATAAACCAAAAAACCTCTTAAGAAAAACAATAAGTAAAAACATAGGGAAAACACATTTTTGTGTGTGTGAGGCTCTGCTTCTCAAGTAACACTTGACTTGAAAGTCATTCTTTATTCTTTCTTACCCATAGCCAGGTATAAGTACCACACATCCTTCTGAGCATGTAGGGATAAAAGATAACATTCGGATTGAAGAGAAAGAAAAGAACAGAATGACTCTGCAGAGATATGCTTCAGAACAAACTGGAGAATTGTGACAATGGATATTGGGTGTGAGGCCAGAATGTCATTGTAGTGGTTGGATTTGTAGTCAGCAAATTCAAAAAGCATCCAAGTCCCAGTCTCTGGTGCTACTCAGATATGAGCAAAGGTGCTCAGAGGTTTAGGAAGCCTGTGGTCCAGGTTTGGCAGAAAGAATCACCACCTTGAGAGGGAGATGAAAGAAAGTAGTACAAATTAGTGCAGCACCAGAAACTGAAGCCTCTGAGAGCTTAAGGCAGGCAACGCAGCCCACCTGCCTGCCAAGCACCACATGATAAAATAAGAACCATGCCTATTGTTACTGTGGCTGGACTTGACTTGTTTTTAGTTTTGTCTTTTTTTGTCCTCAATTAGATGGAGAGTACTCCTGTGTACTCTGTATACTGCTGTGCAGAAATGTGCAAATGCCAACAGGCGAGGGAGAAATAACTGAGACAATGGCAACAGCAAAATAGCTGCAGCTGTAGGCAGGCAGGCAGCCTGGGGTGTTAGTGACCACATGAGCCACACCTGACACCTCTGGAGAGGGAGACACCTGGGCTCTGGAGCAGGCTGCCACCTACACGGACAGACTGTGAAACTGATGTGCAAGTACATCAGGAGCGGTGATGTGACCTTACCTCCAACTCCTCCAGCTCACTCCTGTCTTCAGACCCTGCTGTGTGCCAGCCTCTTCTTCTTGTCCTCACAACAAGCCCTCGTGCTGGAAGAAATTAATTCCCATTTTGCAAATGAGGAAATTCGAGGCATCATAGCCACGACCATCAGATGGCAGATCTGGCGGACTTTCCATTGAGCTGTGTTGCTTTGGTTGGTTTAGACATGTTTATCATTGTTGGGGGTATGGAGAAAATTAAATGAGGTTATACCTGGTAAGGGGCATCTAGCAGAGGCAGTCTTATGCAGTTCATTCTCGCACAAACACGGAGCTCTCTCTGTTGCTAAGGAAGCATTATTAAAACAGTAGCTGACTGATTTACTGCCCCTTCTGTGACATGCACCAATCTATGGGATTTACATATATTAATATGCTTAATCCTCACAACAGTCCTACAAGGCATGTGTTATCATCCTCTCCCCTTCTACAGGTGAGAAAACTGAGACACAGACAGAAAATTTGTAACTTGTCTAAGGTTATTCAGGATATTATGGCTTGTCAGGGCAGTGGTAACAAAGTCCCACAATCTGAGTGGCTTAAACTACAAAAATGTATTGTTTTACAGTTCTGGAGGCTGGAAGTCTGAGATCAAGATGTCAGCAGGACTGGTTCCCTCTGAGGACCATGAGGGAAGGATGTGCTTCCAGCCTCTCCCCTTGGCTTGTAGACGGCCATCTTCTCCCTGTGTCTTGCCATGTTGTCTTCCCTTTATTCATGCCTATACTCAAATTTCCTCTTCTTGTAAGTACGCCAGTCTTACTGGATTAGGAACTTCCATGGACTGAATTATGAGCCCCTAGAATTTATATATTGAGGCTGTATTCCCTAAGGTAACTGTATGTTTGGAAATAGGAAATCTAGGAGGTTATTGAGGTTAAATGAGGTCGTAAGGGTAGGGTCCTAATCCAGTAGGATCAGTGGCTTTATAAGGAGACTATACGTATGGAGAGCTAAGTTCATGTACCAAGGAAAGGCCATGTGAGGACACAGCGAGAAGGCAGCTATCTATAGGCCAGGAAGAGAGCCCTCACCAGAACTTGACTGTACTGGCACCCTGGTCTTGGACTTCCAGGCTCCATAACTGTGATAAAGTGAATTTCTGCTGTTTAAGTAGCCCAGCCTATGGTATTCTGTTATGGCAACCCGAGCTAAGACAGGGCCCACCTAACTCCAGCATGACAGCCTCGTTCGTAACTAATTACATCTACAATGACCCTTCCAAATAAGACCATATTCTGAGGAACTTGGGGTTAGGACTTGAACATATGCATTTTGGGTGGATAGAATTAAACCCATAGCACCATTGTGATTGCAAATTATAATGTCAAGACTGAAACCCAGGTGGTCTGGGTGGAGAAACCACTCACTATCAACCAGCCACTCTGTTACACTGCCCACTCAGTGAAATAGAAACTTAATTCAACAACTATTTATTAAGCACTTGCTGTGTACCTCCCTTTCCTCTGTCTCTAAAGTTCCCTCGTCTTCCCCAGAGAGGTTTTTCCTTTGTTCCTCTTCTCTGTTTCTGATAAAGTGAGGCCTTTTTATTAAAATTACTGACATCACTTTTTCTTCCTGTTTTCAATTAAGCAGTAGTTCATTGACAATTTGCCATGTTGCCATAATGAAAGATGCATAAGTTATGATCCTTTCACTTTCAAATAAATACTGGCCCATGTAGTAGGATGCCTGCCTGTCCACTTTCCTGCTAAGGACATCTGAATATGTCAGTGCCCCTCATTACTGTGTTCCTGGAGCTTAGCACATAGTTGGAACTCAGAAAGTACTTACTTAATGTTGCTATTTCAAACGAATTTACCAATTTCAGGTTTTTCATTGCCTGTGGTCCAAAGTCCATTTAACTGGTTTGAGGGGGCCCCTCAGGCAAACCCACCAATACTGTCCAACTGGAATTAATAGACTCTATACTCTCTCTGGTGACACTGCCTCCAGACAAATTTAAACAACCTCTCTCTTTTCATAAATGCATACATGTCACAAAAATGCCTTTATAAGCTGCATTTCAAGGAATGGCAGCATAGTGCCTGACTGCAAAATGGATGCATTTCTGTGGCAAATTAAGCATTCTGCCATGGTCTTACTGACAAACCACTTAATATAGTTTATATAAATGAAGTCAACATGTAACTGACTTGAAATGAAATTAAAATGTGACAGGAGTCATGCTTTCCCACAAGTCTTATTAAAGCCACACCTGAGTTGCCCTCCTTTCTGCTTCTAACCCTCTCTATATCGGTCAGTCCTCTACATCGTCCCCACAATGCAGAAGACAGAACTGACTCTGCCATGCTCCGTCTGTTCAAAGTGATGGCATCAGTTGCCTATAGAACAAAGAATAAACTGGTGTTTTTGTTTTGTTTTGTTTTTTAATCTCTAACTTACTCTTTTATCCTTTACCCGACTCACTCCCAGAGCCTGATACTCTCATCCTGCTTTTCTGGTAAAGCCCACAGGGGCCCTCCGTGTACCCCGCTGCTCAGAGTCCCTTTTCACACTGGGTCAGAGACAGGGATACGTGGCATCTGCTCTGCTTTCTCCAGCCCACCCTCTGAAATCCCCCAAGGCCCATTTGAGACATCACTTCCTCTGTGAAGCCTTCTTCGACCTTCATTTCCTGTTGTAAGGAGAAATGCCCACTCTTTCTTCCACATTCCTGTGGAATGTTGTCCATCCCCCTTTATTTCCCCCCATTTCTCCACTACAACATAAACAACAGCAGGTGTTATGTTTTGTCTCCATTTCCAGGATCCCATGAGGTGTAGGCAGAGAAATTTCCACATAGTTGGTGCTCAGTAAACATGTGTTCAAAGGAGAGAAGACAGAAAGGAGGGAAAGTAAGTAGAAAGGTGGAAGAATGGAAACCTTAGGATACTTCAAATCACAGTTACACAATCCAGTACAACCATCTATGGGATAGGGGAAGAGAGGGAGTCATTTGCTTTTTCTTGTGCAGATATAGAAGGAAAATGAAAGATAAGAAAAACTAATTTTGATTAATTATGAATATCCATCTCATTACAAGTAGTCAAGGTAAAATGAGTCTAAAATTTAAGGAGATGAATTTGATAAGATCTAAAAATTATCCCAGCTTCTTCATAATCCACTTACTCACTGTGCAGAAACAAAGACAAACATCCAGATTGAAAATAAAATTCAGCTTCTTTACCAAATATGTCCCAATATCCAGATACTTAGCATAGATTTAGACTAAACGTCCAGATGACTGAATATTCTTATTGTCCATTTATGTATGTTAACACCAAGGGTGAGGTTATGAGTCTGGAATTGAACATAAAAGCCCTTGCACTTATTTATCCTATAGTTTATATAGTAAGACATTTACCAGAAAGGGGAGAATGCCAACATACTTAAGCAGAAGGAAATAATAAAATTTCATTTGAATAGAGGATATTCAATGTCAGTTCTGATTTCTAGTTTGAGAATTTGTTAAGTTTCCACCAGGCAAGATTGATAACAAAAGAAGAGCTTAGTCCAAATGTACACCCAGTCTTCCACTATGCTGGCCCAAGGCTGTGCCAGTAAGATCTCTTCAAATTGTTGGTGGGTTGTGTAGCTTTCAGGGATTGGTTATAGTACTATTTCAAAAATAGTTTGAATTAAGATTCTGGAGTACCCCATGGTAAATTTTATTTTCAAAAAATGGCTATAATACTATCTCTCATTCCACATGCTTTTCTCACAATATGACTCTGATACTCTTCTCAAAAAGATGCGAGGCCTGTGTTCTCTCTCTCCTTGAAGAAGGATGACCTTGTAATTACTGCAGAAGTGACTCTGTGTGACTGTTTGTGATTCCCAAGTCTAGATTCTACAAGATAATACAGCTTAGGTCTGGTTTTCTTGGGCCTTGGGCTCTTCACACTCACCCACGATTGCATGAGGAAAATCTTATTTTAATCCATGGAAGGGCCTGCATGGAGAGAATGTGACCCCTCTCCCCCCAGCCCAAGGTCCTGACCAAGCTCTTGGCCGACAGCCAGAACCCATATGGCTGTATAACTTGAGCTACTGCAGTCGTTGCTGCATGAGCAGAGACAAGCTGTCCCCGCCAAGCCCTGCCCAATTTGTAGATGTGCTGTTTGCATATCTACATTTATTTGTTTAATAAATGATTGCTGCCATTTGGAGGTTGTGTGTTACACAGTAACTATAATAATAATTGGAAAGACTCCTAAAGAGAAACAACATACATCCTGGCCTCTGACTTTGTACCATCAGAAAGTACATTCTTCACTTAATTTGTGTCGTATGTAGAATTATGGCTTCTCCAAAGATGCCCACACCTGGACTCCTGTGAATATGTTACCTTGAATGGCAAATAGGAGGGAACTTTGCCATTAAGTTAAGCATCTTGATGTGGGAATAGTATACTGATTTATCCAGGCGGGCCCAATGTAATTAAATGGGTTCTTCTATGTAAAGGAAGGAGGCAGGAAAGTCAGAACCAGAGAGAGATTTGAAGATGCTACACAGCTGGATTTGAATATAGAAGAAAGAGCCAAAAGCAAAGGGAAGCAGGCAGCTTCTAAAAGCTAGAAAAGACAAGGAAACAAATTTTCTTTTAGAGTTTCCAGAAGGAATGCAGTTTTTGATTTTATCCCACTGAGATCTATTTTAGGATTCTGATTTCCAGAAATAAAAGATTTTGTGTTCTTTTGAGCCATTCAATTTGTATTAATTTGTCATAGTGGCAATAAGAAACTAATACAAGTAGTGTCATCTCTGCAGCTTAATTAATAGTTCCCTCGCACCCTTTCCTTGAATTAATTTTGGGACCATGACCTGCTTAGGGAAGCGAAACCTCAATATAGTTCTGGATTAAAAAGGACTAGAACTTCAGGGACTAGAGTGTCCAGCACTCGAGGGCTGATGGTAGTAGTGAGGTCCAGGAAGGATTAGTGGCTTTTTTGGAGTTATAATATGGCTCATGGCTGAGCAAGGAGTGGAACACAGCTAACTCCAAGGCTAGATACCTGTCTTCAGTATGGCTTTATTCTAACTTTCTGACCTCTGAGGGTCTCTTTATCAGTTGTCCAGAGTTGTCCTATTGTTTCTGGTGGAACAATAGATGAGGGCTATCCAGGAGTTCTGTTCAGATTACCTCTCCCTTAGGGATACCAGTGTTCCCTGTCTCTTCATTAACATTTTAATTATCTCATTTGTGTTTCCAAAGACTCACAAATTGTCTTAATGAGAGTGCAGTAATTTGTCATTCTTTCAAGGTAATATGCATATAAAAGCCACCTTCAACTCTTGAAGAAACATTTTAAACACTGTGATAGGCCAATGGGGGAAACAGCCTCTCTTAGCTCTCTCTTCCCAAGCCTTACAGTCTAGACAGCTGCTCAATTATCTAAACCATTAGTGGGAATGGAAATTTGTTGAGCTTTTTTGGAGGTCAATTTGAAAATAGCCTTCAAAAGTTTAAATGCACAAGTTTGCTAACCCAGGTGCTTCACCTTCAGTTAAACACATGTGTTAAGATATGTGTAAAGGGATCATATTTATAATAGCAAAACATTAAAAAAAAAAGACTTAGGTGTCCATCAGTGAAAGTGTAATTAATTTATGGGTGGCACACCCATATTATGGAATATGTTGGGGCCATTAAGAAAAATAAAGCTAGCATTCTTTTATACTAAAATGGAAATTTGTTCAACATGAATTCAGAGGAGGAAAGCAAGCTGTTGATTGATCTAGATTATAATTCACTTTGTATTAGCAAAAGCCATATTTTTATATTCATTTTTATATTTATATAGGCCTTTATACAGTGAGAATATGTATGTGACTCAGAGACTACTTACTCATTCATTCATTAAAACAACATTTATAAGCTGACTATTCCAAGCTAGACTGAGTACACATAATATTAAGTAAAACAGATACTATGTAAGTCTTTGTGAAGCTCACAGTGTACTGATAAATATAGAAAACCCTTTTTAAAGTAAAAATAGTCTAAATACAATAAAAATCTAGATAAAACTTCTGAAAAATGCATGATGCTATGGTATAGAAGGAGCTTTTATGTGCAGAGTGATTTGTGAATCTTTCCAGAGGAGATGGCATTTCAACAGAGATCTGAAAAATATAATAACATAACTCTTGAATCAAAGGATGTGCAGGATAATTTAACTCATCCTTCTCATTCACCAGTGAGGAACATGAGAGTTAATGTCATTGGTATCGCAGAGATTAGAACACAGGTTTACAAACTCCCATTCAGGAAGCACCAAATGTGAGGAAGTTTGGTGTGTTTCAGGACCTGAAAAGCCACAGGTAGCAGAAAGAAAGTGAATGTGGAAGGGAGGGGTGAGTAAGTTTGGAGAGGGGGCAGACCATGCTGAGCAGCAGTTCTCAAACCTTTTAGTCTCAGAACTTTCTGACTCTTTTAGAAAATATTGAGAATCCCAAAGAGTTTGTTTATGTAAGTTATGTCTATTAGTCCTTAGGACATGTACTATTAAATGGTAAATTTAATATATATATGTATTACTTTATTAAAAAATTAATAAACCCATTACACATTATAGTGAGTAGAATGGTGATGCCTCCAAATGATATGCCCATGGCCTAATATCCAGAACCCTATGAAAGCCACTTTTTAAAGAAAAAGAATCTTTGTAGAAGTGATAAAGCAAAGGATCTCGAGATGAGATTGTCCTGGATCACGGTGGGCCCTAAATCCAATGACAAATTCTCATAAGAGAATAGAAGGGGAAGCAGACACAGAGAGACAGCCCTGTGAAGACAAAAGCAGACATCGAAGTGATGTGTCTACCAACCACAAACACCAAGGATTGCTGGTCAGAAGCTAGAAAGAGGCATTATGCCTCAGAAGGAACTGCCATCAGCATCTTGACTTAGAGTTCTGGCCTTCAGAACTGTGAAAAAATGTCTGCTGTCTTAAACTACCAAGTTTGTGGTACTTTGTTACAGTTGTCCTAGGAAACTAATAAACTTGCCAATGTAAAAAGAGTACATTCATAAAGATTAACTACATTTTCTAAAAGAAAAATAAATGAAAGAGAAGAATGATATTTTTCTACAGTTTTGCAGATCTCTTCAATGACTGGCCAGTAGAAGATGCCTGTATTCCTCTACGTGCTACTGCATTCAAACTGTTGAGATATGCTGTTTTGGTTGAAATATGTGAAGAAAATCCAGCTTCACACAGAAATATACTTGGGCAGTGGAAGATTATTATAATAGATCTTTATAAAATTGTGGATAGTCTTTGACACTACACCAAAACTTGGTAAGTAGTATTTTCTTAAAGGTTAGTTGCAAAGTGGAATCTGAGGTGGTATCAACACATTTTTCATACTTTTTTACATTAATTACATTGGTCTACCTTGAATGGGTCTTTTACCTAAGCATGATTTTGGACATAATGTGTTGATCATTTGGAAAATACAGGTTCACTGAATAATGCAGATCATCCAAATGTTGACATACTTTATTGTATATTATCAGAGAAAAATGCATTAATTAAAACCACTAATGATGTCATTGAAATTTTTTAAGTATCAGGAAGCTATCAAGCTCACAATTATGCATAAAAATTTTCCAAAATTTTAATATTTGTTTGACAGTTCGAATTTAACATTGGCAGTAAATATTATCAATTGTTTTCCTTGAAATGGCAGACTCATTCAAATCTTTATTTATTTGTTTATTTATTTATTGAAATTTGGCTCACCTGACAGGTTGCTTTTTGAGGTGGTAAGAAAAGGCTCTGACTCAAAATAATGAGTGGGGCTTTTTGACATAATCAAACAAACAACAACAACAAAAAAATGCTGAGATAATAGCAGAAGGATGCTGCTGGAGACAGAGAATACAAAGGCAATACAATACATAATTCAAGAACAAAAAAAAGCATCTGTATACTCAATAAAAAACACTTATGTGTAGATATAGTAATAACATTCATTGAGTGTTGGGCAGGTGGGAGGGGGGCGGAGGGGATGGGTATAGTCACACCTAATGGGTGTGCTGTGCACTGTCTGGGGGCTGGACAAGCTTGAAGCTCTGAGTTGGGTGGGGCAAAGGCAATATATGAAACCTAAATATTTAGGTTATGCATTTAGTAACCTAAACATTTGTACCCCTGTTAGATGCTGAAATAAAAAAAGAACATTTAATATTAAAATTAAAAGTGATGCAATATGAACTATGGCTATAAGAAGGAAAACATGAAAGAGAAATGCAAGAAGTGACATCTGATTGAATGGGTAGCAATAGTTGTGGGAAAGGTGGATTTCAGAGCTACGGCATATACCTTTTCTGTCAACACCAAGATCTAGCATGGTGCTTTTTACATAGTAAATGCTCATTCAGGTCTTAATAAACATAATTTGTCAGTCATTCTTTCAAACAAAAATGGTGTTTCATGAAAAAGATGGCTAGCTCAGCTCACAACTAAAACAATTGCACAGGTGTTTATTATCACATAGGATATTTTAAAAGACATTTACTCAAGAGTTGTAATTTAAAATAAAAATCATCATTTTAAGTACTTATCAGAATATTCTCATGTGAAATTGCCCGCCCCCATACCTGCTAATGTACCACAGAGAAAAATGCAACGTTGCCAGCATGGATTGGAGCTACAGCCTTGATACATACTGGCTGCCAACAGTTTTACTCAGCATTGCCTTTGCAGCAACCATGCAAATGTTAACAGGGCAAAAATGGCAATTGACATTTTAGAAGTATTATGAAAATAGCTTTGGCCAAACTAAGCCCTGAGGGCCATGAACCCCCTAGAGATCCGCAGATCATTCTTTGAGAACCACTGCTATAGAGTTTTATAAACTATGAAAAATAGTTGGATTTTATTTTATTCCCAATCAGTAGCTTTTAGCGGAATGTTAGCTGGGAAGAGAAGTTATTTGATTTGAAGTCTTAAAAGATGACAGAAAGATTTCTTAATTGAGGAAGTGTTTAATGGCACCATTTACAGAGAAGGGGAAAGACTGCAGGGGGAGGTGGAGGAAGGAATATTAAGAGTAGTTTGAGACACGCTGAATTTGAATCGTCTATGAAACATCCGCGTGGAGAGGCTGAGCAGGCAATTGTATTTGTAAGTCTGGAGCTTAGAAGCGAGTTCTAGCCTGACACTTAGGTGTCATTTACCTATAGAAAGGATTCAAAATTGAGATGATTGATGATAGCATGTGGGAAGACAGTGTAGAGAAGGGAAAAAAGGAGAAATCTGAACCAAATCCTGAACACCTCAACATTTCAAAATATTTAAAAATAGTCTCCTGGGATCAGGCTCGGGGACACTGGATGTTAGAAAAAAAAAAAAAAAAGAGAGAGAAATTTACCGTTATAAATTGTTGGAAAAATTCAATGAGTATGTACTTTTCCTTTTTCCAGCTTTGTTGAAGTAAAATTATTTTAAGTGCACAATTTGATATGTTTTGACAATGTGTGTACACACCAGCGAAACCATCACCACAATCAAGGAGATGAACAAATTAAGAAGTGTCCTGATCACCCTTGGTAATCCATGCCTCCCCTCCACTCCTTTCCCAGGCAGCCAGTAATCTGCAAGTATATACTTTTGTTCCAAAATAAAAATAGTTTTAAAAAGTCAACCTAATGAAACATCATTTTGCAGACATTTTTCAGGAAAATAAGGCTCTGAGAAATGAACTTGCTTTCAGAGTGTCCAGCTTTTTAGGGACAAAAGGAGGGTTAGAACTCAATTATATGACTTCCATTTGGGGACATTTCATGCTGCCAAGCTGCCTCCACTCTTTGACCTACTGTCCTGATCTTGTTCCTTTCTTATTTGACTCTTCTTAGACAGTATCTCTTTTGAACGTATTTGAAGAAGAATTCCTCTCTGTAGGTTGGAGTCACTGCATGATATATTAACACACACAGAGCCTTCCCTTCTGACAGCTGCTGGAAGCTTCCTCAGAATAGGTTTATTCGGCTTAAGAAACACACTAAAGATATTTTGATCTTCTCTTCTATCAAGAATTCCCCATTGCATTTTACTTTTTTCATCATAAAACAATTTAACAAACTTTATATAAACCTGGTTTTCAAACCTGCCAGTCTTGTAGCAAAGTGTTGTTTTTCAAAAAAGGAAACATTAAGAAGTAGAGTGAGCTGCTGAATTTCCATATTGTTGAAATCATATTAATTCACAATTTGTCCTATGTTGGGGTCCCCCAGAAGTAGTGTCTGAATCAAGATTTGAACATAAGTAGTTTATTAGAGAGGAGATTCCAGAAAGCACCAGGATAGGAATGAGGAAAGTGAGATGGGGAAGAAACAAAGTCAATAAACTATATGTTATCAAGCAAGTTATCACCTTGCCGCAGAACTCTAGAAGACACTGTAGATTGCACCTCAGAGATTTCCCATCTGAAGGGTGAAGAACCTTGAAATTTATCCTCTAGCTCCATCAGTACTTAGCTGAGTGCTTCTCTCCCTCCTCCCGCCCCTGCTTATGAAAGGACCGCAAGAAAGCCCTCAGGTTATGAGTCCTGGGTACCTGAAGCACACACTTTTGGCGTGTGCTGGATTGTTACGAGGTAAGCAGGTACATGCAGGGCACTGGCAGTGTCTGCTGAATGAACCACATAATGGTTCATCTGGAAAGAGAATCTCAGCTTTTAAATAATCATGGCATTCGCATTCCTTCCTATAATTTCACTAATGATGCTGTAATCAAGCTGTAATAGCAACATGTAAGCCCTCTGAGAACAGGGTCCAGATCTCATTCATTCTTCTAACGCTCCAAAGGACTGATCATAACAAGAGCTCCTCACTTATCTAACAGTGACTTTGTAATCAATGAACTGAAGTCCTCTGCTGTGAACTGTGTTGGAAGTATATGCTGCAGTAGTGAGTGGCATATATTCTAGACCCGTACCACTTGGATTGTAGCCTGGCTATGTCCCTTATTAAGGATGTGATTTTGGGCAGGTTTCTCAACCTCTCTGAGTCTTGATTCTCTCATCTGTTTCATGGGTAGAATCATAGTTCCTATGCATTTGCGTTGGTGCAAGGCTTAAATGAGATAATTCATGGGAAACAATTATCGCAATGCCTGATACTTGTTAAATGTGCAAGACCTACTAGCTATTAATATCACTGATCACTTGATAAATGGCCATTACAATGGTCCAACATCTAAAGTGATCACATTATGATTGATGAAATCAAAGTTCACACATATGTGTGGTTAAATAACGTGGTTGTGATCTCATCTGAGGCAGACTTGTCAAAACTAATCATTTTCCAGTAAGAGGTAGACATAACTTTACCCTGATCTTTTCACTGTTTAACAGTGTGTTTTTAAATGTTTAAGTTATCTGGGGAAGTAGGCCTGTGTCTTGAGTTTGGTAGATATATCAACTCAAACTCTTTGAGTAAGACCCTTTAAGGTAGAATTTCAAATATTATTTTCCAGCTTTACAGATAATAGATTTTATTATATACCTAAATACTATTAATAATTGTGCTGTCTCTTGGATTTTATTTGTGTAGTTTCCATTTCTGTTAATGGCTCATTTATCTTGTAAGTCAAGGTTAGATTTATATTATTTTTCTTTAAACTGTTAAATTCCTGTAAGAAGCATTGTGCTGGATGCTTGAAGACATTTGAGTCATTTTCTGCCATCAAGTACAACAATCCTGAATATATCCTAGATAGAAGGGAATTTACTCTAAAAAAAACAATTCATAGCCATCTCAAGAATATATTGCCATAATAAATAAGTTTCTAGATGTGGTATACCACTTAAGCATCTTTCCTCTTCTTCCATCCCCAATGGAAATGAAAACCCAGAAACCTTTGTGAATGTACTTGAAACTTAACATTGATTATCTTTATTTTGTCTGGGCCAGATGGTCTGTGGTCTTTTTATCTTTTGAGGGAAGTAGCTAAAGATCACAGAAAGATCACTTAACTAGGGATAAAAAAAATATCTGAAGTCTAGTCTTAGCTTTGTTTTCAAGCCTTTGATCCAGTGATATCACAGGCACTGTTGATCATACTTTCATTCTGTCATATGACACTGTGGGTTTAGATCAGGAGTTTGGATGCACCTAAAAAAGGTCTAGGTGAAGTCTGTACCTAAAGTGCTGGAAACATAGCTACCAATTGATTATTATAAAGACAGGGATCTGGATTAATAGATTGATCTAGTATTGGCAGAAAAGATCTAAGTAATGGTCTTATATAGAGAGTTCAATGTCTGGGGTTTCTTTTCAAGCAGAGTCGGGCATACATTCTAGCAAGTGCACACAAGTGGTTAAGGAAAATCCCATCTTCTTAAGGGGGTCTAATAGCAGGAGACAAGGAGTGCAAGGCCCCAGCTTGGTGGCTGGGGCTCCAGGGAGAAGACAGAGGCAATACAACAAGAAACATGGACAGTGGAGTACAGAGAACGCATCATCCACAGACTGAGGGATGTCAGAGGGTAAAGACTAAGTAACAAGGATTGAGAAAAAAATTTTATGTGGTTCCAGAAGCAAAACTGACTTAGGAATCTGGATTAGTTTCCTATTGGGAAGAAATGAGCAAAGGTGCGTATTATTTATCTATTGCTTCATAACAAATTACCACAAAAATTAGCTGCTTAAAACAATATACATTTATTATTTCACAGTTTCAATGGGTCAGGACTACAGGCAAAAAGGTCCTCTGGTTAAGCAACTCTCACGAGACTGAAATCAAGGTGTTTCTCAGGTCTGGGGTCTCATCTGAGTCCTCAACTGGAGAGGGACCTTGTTCTTCTAGCTATTGGCAGGATTCAGCTCTTTGAAGGCTGTTGGATTGAGAGTCTCTGTCCTTTGTTGGTTGTTGATCAGGGGCCACCCTTGAGTTTTTGTCTTGTGGGCTTATCCAGAGAGAAGTTCAGAACACAGTGGCTTTCTTCCTCAAAGCCAACAAGGAAGGACATCTGCTAGGAAGATGCAAGTCCATGTCATATACAATCTGTTAACGAAAGTGAATCTCATCACTGCTACTGAATTCTCTTTGTTGGAGGTAATCACAGTCCAGCCCACACTCAAGAGGGGAAGGAATCACACAGTCACAAACACCAGGAAATGGGGATAATTGCAGATCACCTTGGAGTCTGCTCCATACAGGGAATTCACATTTTATTGAGTAATGATTGTGGCAAGGTACAGTGCTAGGAACTGTTATTTGTAATATCTCTTTACCTAGAGGTTCAGCTCTTAAGTTGTACAGACTTTAGAGGCACAGAGCCAGGAAGAATAATGTAGTAGCTAGAATAAAAATTTCCCCCTTTCTTCGCTTCAGTTTCATCAGCAATAAGAAGGCAGGGTCTGGATTAATGTCTCATCCAGCTCTTTGGTTTCATCCCTTCTGGGGTTTCCATAAGTCTATTGTTGAAACCTTTCCCAGTTTTGCAGATTTTGAAAAAATTCTGGAACCTGACATTGTGCTCACTCTTTTATAAAGGGTCTGCCTGAGTGTAATGGGGTTATAAAGGATTACTATAGTCTCCAAAATCTTCCTCAGCACACACACCCATGGCATTTCTGAAAAATACAGTGCAGCCACACTTTTGTATACCAAATATTTTTCTACTAATTATGAAAATTTACCACAAAAACAAGCCTATCAAAAAATGCAAGTAAAAACTAAAGCTATCTGTGAGAAAGAAGGGGTGGGAAAGGAATAGTAAGAGGGGAGGCAGAAGCCAACTGACATTTATTGAACACAACTGTGTACCAGGCGGGATGCTAAGAGACATTTGACCTCATAACTTTATTTTGAAATGTGAGCTATTACTTTTTCAAAGACTCTCTTATATATTTGACATGTATTTCTTGCTTTTTAAAAACTCAAGCCCAGTGTGTTCCTAGCATTTTTTCCAAATTTTCAATTACTGTCTCACATCATCCAACTCCCTTCCGCAATCCCTTGACATTAATGTTGCAGGAAATATATCACATATGTCTTTGATGGCAAATTAAACATGTTCAGATTTTTTTGTTCCCCTAAGTAGGAGGAAGTGTTCCTTCCCAGAATCCCCATAAGGATGAGATTCAAATGTAACCATAAAAACCAGCAAGGAATTTATGGGTTTGCTGTCCACATGCTAATGCTGGTTGGAGCTAGAATGAAACCTCAGGTGATGAGGGTTGTGGTTCTTGTCTTTCTTGAATCAGTGAAGGTTCCAATTTGCATTGGAACAGCTTTTCCACTGGGTCAGCCTTCTGGCTGGATTCAATCATAATTTCTAGCCTGGGCATGATTCAGTAGCTCAGTATAGACACAGCTTCAGCCTGTGGCCTTTTACTGCTCTAAGACCAGTTTTCAAATAAATAACTGGCTAAATGGTTTCCAGATGCTAAAATAAAAATTATACAGATGCAAATATATTACAGTTAATTTCAAGGCTGTTTAAGGTTTTTACTGTGCCTAGGGAAGACAGCTATAAAAAATGCACATCACTTTAGCAGAGCATACTTCATCAATTACTCCATTAACAATAACAATGTGGGAAATAAAGGGTGAAATTGAGTACAATAAACCAATGAAGAAAATGAACATAAACAAGAAATGGAATAAGCAAT